AACCCCCCTCCCCCCACACCCCCCACCAGTTACATTGCGACATTGGTCTACTCTCACTAATGTTCGCGGGCCATATGTAAACTGTGTGTAAACATAGTTGTCTACGTCCATGAATGTGTGCCGGACAATAGACTGCTGTCCAGGTCGTATTATTGGCTTCCCCTCATTTTTTCCCCACACCACGCTACTGGATTTTGACCCCTCATATAAACATTATGCATAATGCTGCGCTATACTTTGCGGCCACACGCCGTTGCCAAGCAACGCTTACGGTACGTCCACACAGCAGCTTTGAAAAAATCTTGAAAATCTTGGAGCTGGGCTTGTCTGAGAGCTTGGGGATTTTTCGCGACCAACGCGACCAACAACCAATCACATGAATGTCCCGCCCCCGGCATACAAAGCAAAAAACCCCGGGGATTTTATGCGAGCAATATATATATATATATATAAACTCCCCAAACAGGTGAAAACCTACCAGTTTCACCCTCTGTCTCTGCCACCTCCCTCCATGCCTGGTTCCTCCGGTTTGTATCCCGGTAAATAGTTCTGGTCGTAAAGAACCGGGTGATTTGCTACCGTAATTTCTCGTTTGGAATATGAGGAAATGAACTGCGGTCTGGCTCTCCCAGCTTGCACGCGGTTTGATTGGCTAGCGCTTGTACTGTCAGATTTGCATAAACGGGATTTGATTGGCTGACGCTTCCAGCTCAGCTTCAAAAGTTGAACATTGCTCAACTTTTGAATCCTGAAAATCATGTAAATCCTGGAAATCTTCGCTTCGCTTCCCCACAATGCAGTTCGGCGAAAAGCGAGGCAAAGTGACGTCACCCCATTCAAAGTCAATGGGCAGAGAAGCGTTGGAAGATTTTTTTAAAGCTGCTGTGTGGACGTACCGTTATTGTTTAGGTCCTTTGATAAGCAGGCAGTCATACCATTAGCTAGAACTAGCTAGATCTGATAGATTTGGACATAAACGTGAGTGAAGTCTAACCGGACGGGAGAGAGAGATCAGAGATCAGATCAGCTGCTGCAGCTCTGCATGATCACAGCTCCTCCGCTGTGACGCACCGTTGAGCGGAACAAAATACACTAGAGTTAGACCTAACACACTTAGCTAGTTCATCTACTCTGGAACTAGCTAAACTAGTTATACATATATTTATTCTTTACTGTTGGGTCACTTATTACAGGTTCAGCGAGCTGCACGAGAGGGACGGCCTATCAGGAGAGGGAGAGGAAAAGAGAGCACCCCGTTTATTTTTCCCATTTTATTATCCAGAGTTACTGTAAACTTTTGAATAAAGTAGTTAATCTACTATTAGTAGTTTTTTTAAATGCATTAATTATGTGTTTTTTTTCATTAACATAAAATAAATCTCACATACCCCATGCAGTACTCCAACGTACCCCTAGGGGTCCGCATACCCCCATTTGAGAACCACTGCTCTAAACAGAAGTAGCTACAGAAAATAAGGCAATGTGGAAACAGCCACGACCAGGCTAAGAATAAGGTGAAGACTGCAGAGAAAGACCCTTGAGGTTCAGAAGGTTACAATGCTTTTCCCATGAATAAGGTGGAGCTGTAGTTTGTCTCTGTTGCCAGCAGAGGGCAGTGATTTGTGATCATTTCTGTTTGTGAACAGGAAAGTGTGAGGACACACAGACAGAAGGACCCAGGAGACAAAGGGAAGACATCACGTCAGCTTAATTGTTTTCATTTATTGTCATAGTGATTCAGTTTGACTTTAAAACGTAGACGTTATCNATTTATATAGCCCAAAATCACAAATCAGAATGAGGGGGTCCTTGGTGTATTCTCTATCTTGTAAGGGGTCCTTGGCTGAAAAACAATTGAGAACCTCTATATTAAGGGACGCTTGCAGCATTTTTGAAAACAGTGAACCTTGCAGCATTTTTGAAAACAGTGAGCCTAAGAAGAAAAAACCACATACCAAGAAGCAAGGACACTATGGCTTCCACATCCTCCATTGTTGTTGAGTGTTTTTTGAGTTGTGTCGCATTCAAGATGACGTCACGGCAGTTGTATGCAGCGTCGCTCCGCCCGCCAAAAAGCCGATCGCCCCGCCTACACTGCGTTACTATAGTAACTACCCCAGTTCCTAAACTGTAATGTGAGCACAGCATTAAAGTGAGACGGGCCTAATAAGGCCTAACCAAACCGAGCGAGGCCTGCAGTGTAAATGCGCCATAAGAGTTAGACCTAACACACTTAGCTAGTTTATATACTCTGGAACTAGCTAAACTAGTTAAGAATATATTTATTCTTTACTGTCGGGTCACTCATTACAGGTTCAGCGAGCTGCACGAGACTGACGGGCTGTCAGGAGAGAGAGAGGAAAAGAGAGCACCCCGTTTATTTTTCCCATTTTATTATCCAGAATTACTGTAAACTTTTGAATAAAGTAGTTAATCTACTATTAGTAGTTTTTTTAAATGCATTAATTACCCTGCAGTAATCCAACGTACCCCTAGGGGTCCGCGTACCCCCATCTGAGAACCACTGCACTAGGGCATGACAAAAAGGCCACCAGTATTTATAGACATAAAAGAACATTCAATCTATATTCAAATCCCGGTTTTCATCAAAATGAAAGAGCTAAAAAGTCAAAAATGTGCTTATTTCCACAACCTTATCCCTTACCCAGGTCCCAGACATTTGAAAACAACACCACACCTTAAACACAGTGACCTACCGAGTCCATCTTCATGCACGTGCCGAAATCTGCCAGTTTGAGGTGTCCGTGTTGGTCGAGCAGCATGTTGTCAGGTTTCACATCTCGATGGATGAAGCCCATGGAGTGGATAGCGTCCAACGCCAGCACTACTTCAGCCGTGTAAAAGATAGCCCACTTCTCAGGTATGTCGTAGTTCATGGTGAGCGTGACCAGGTCGCCTCCGGGCATGAACTCCATCACCATGTAGAGGTGGCGGTCGTCTTGGAAAGCGCAGAACAGCTGCAGGGCACGATAAACACAGTCACTTAATGTGATTCAACCTTGAGATGTCATACCATTACTTTGATACAGACTACACTACAAGGAGTGGCTTTGTTGTTTCTGGATGATTTGTGACTCACATAAAACAGACTGTTATGGACTACTAACTCCAATTTGATGTCAACATCACATCAAAAGTTTATTAATCATCTGAAAAATAATTAGATAGTATATTACTTTACTAGAGTAAATCAAACTAGCAATATATTATAATAATGATATTATTTTTAACAGACTGCTATGGCCACATTTCAGGCATAGCGATGTTTAATGATAACATTTGTTTTTTGCAAAATATTTGGAAATAAAACAATATATTGATTTCTAATTTCATTGCCCCAATGACATACTATATATGAAGCAAATATTTATGATACAAAAAGAGTAATCAAACAGCAAATGTAATATTAATATAATCTTGATGCCAATCTTTGAAGAATCAACATTTCAATTGTGTAAAAGTACACATTTTTATCTCAATAACATGCTTTGAATAGGTTTAATGAATAACAATAAAAACAAAAAAACGATGGCTTGATGGCTAGAATTTATATTTAGCCAATTTGGTGTATTTGCAAAATCTTCTCTTTCTCTTGAAGTGAACTATGCTAATCATTTGTAAAGACAGGGGATAAAGAAGTTTTAAATAAAAATCATAACAAAACTTAAGCAGACAGGGGGACCAGACTGAATATTTGAACGATTCTAATTATATTTGGTAAACTATCTTAAGCATGATACAAATTGTATTGTGTGTATTCACAAAGGGGTCAAACACTCTTTAAGGGTCTTCATTGTAAGAAGGGCGTGTGACAGAGCACAGGCTTATTTCTGTCATGGTTAAATGTTTCATCCTTACGCTACGTTTCACATTTTGTGATTTCAGTAGAATAAAAGCCTGTGAATGAGCCCACCTGTACGACCCATGGACTGTTGGAATAGGCCATGATGTGCCTCTCCTCCCAGAAGAAGGCAGAGTCTGACCGCTTTATCATCTCAAACTTGTTAAGCTGCTTCATGGCGTAAACCTTTCGAGAGGCCTTGTGACGAACCTGTAGCCAAGGAGGGCATAGAAAAGAGAGGGGACGTTGGCATGTAAACAGTGATAACTGCGCAGAGACAATCAGAACAAGATAGTAAGAGTGTCTTAATGACCATAGATAACATGGAACAGAGGGAGAGAGGGGAACCCATAATCGAAGGCACACGCCCTTAGAAAAGACATGCTTACACAAGAATTCAAACACACGAAGCATCCCCTCCAAACCCCAAAGCAGGCTTCACGCTCCCCTCCCACACACTGAGCCTGTCCAGACTCGTTTCTACCACAAGACACTCAGCAGAGACCAGATTCAAGCTTCCACCAGCACCAGAGACAGACATCTGGATAAACTGGGGCTTTGCAAGGACTTACTGCTTGCCCTAATTACTTTTTCCATAATGAAGGCCATGATGAGGAGAAAGGTGGCAATTATACTTGGAACACCAACAACAAGTTGCAGATGTTACATATTGCATATTTTTGGTAGATTAGAAAGATTGTTGCTCCCTCTAGTGGTTCACATTTCTAGTATTTTGGTGCTAAAATGGCTGAACTGATCTTTACCTGCTCCTGCTCAATTCCCCTTAATATCACGCAGCACCACTGCAGCGTAATTCAAATAATAACACCCTTTATTTATTGACAAAAACTTCTCACCAGTCGCACTTCTCCATAGGCTCCTTTTCCGATCAACTTCACTTTGTCGAAGTCTTCAAGCTTCACCTGCAGCTCTCGGAGTTGACTCGCTGCCTTTTCATCTGCAGGAAAGATAGACGTGTTACTATGGCAACACAAAGGTCAAGCTTCAACAATGTAGCGTCAGAGAGTCAAAATGTTGCACAGGGACAGAAATGTTCCTCGACTGACCAAAGTGGAAAATGTAAAGTTAGACCAGTCAAAAGTGCCGTTTTAAAGGGGCCCTATTATGCTAATTTTCAGGATCACATTTTTATTTGTGCCTATTTTGTGACATGTTTACATGCTTTAACGTTCCAAAAGGGCTTTATTTTAAAGCATAATAGAGCCCCTTTAAACCCACAGTATTTTTAGAAGAGAAAGACAGGTTAATAGTACTGGGGTTGGAGGACATGCCGATGTATTTATTTTATCTTACATAAGACACATTTTAGCCACAGGTTGACCCATGATGGTAATGTCTTTGTTTTAAGTTCAAACAGAGTAAAGAGCAACAGATTCCACAACAAATTGATTAAGCAAAAAAGTCTGTACAAAAGTGACACATATCTAACTTTTAGTGATGTTTTGGCTCTAAAATCTGTCGGGGCTGAACAGCAGTTGATTTGAATACCAAATCATGCTACAGAGGTGTTTATTCATGTTTCTTATCTTTTCTGTGACCTTTAGCTGAAACAACAACTACTGTAAATACAACACTTTGATACAAGGAGGCAAGTTTTAACTCGTTTAAACTAGTTTGTGGGCAATGACAAACAAGAAACCTACTCCGTTCCTCGTGACCAGAGTGATCTGTTTTGTATTTTCCAACTTTATAGCTCAAGCTAAGCACGAGAATCTTGACCTTCACCAAACACACTGTAGCTCTTACATCGGCTCAGAAACGCCTCTATGTTTTTGTTTTTCCTCAGGGCAGGATAATTCAGATCATGAGCCAGCGCGTTCATGGAATCCTGAAACACAGAAAAGACGAAACATTGGGTTAACTTGAAACAAACAATTGAACAGAAACAAAGTATGGATTTTTTTTAAATATTTAACTTCTAGCTCTACCTTTGGTCTAGTAACACATTATCTAATAATGTCACTCTCATACCTCCCATTTTAATCAATTTGTTGGGGGTTTATTATTGCTTGGGTTTTGCTGAACTAACAACAAGAGAAACATCTAAGTATAGTCATGTTTTCAAGCTGATTTGTTTATCCTGGGGAAGGGAATATATATGTTGTATGTATGTCCGTCAGGACAAGTCTTGTAAGGCAATCCTGACCTTCTGCTGGCTGATAAAAAGATAAATGAATGAATGGAGGAAGGAAAGAAGGAAGGAAGGAAGGAATTACATTCTTGTAGGCTGCATGCTCCAATATGCAACATTAAAAGGGAATAGAAAATGAGACTGCTAATGTGCCGCATAACAAAACAAGGACAATGAGGACAATGGAGGTTTGCTGTAAAGTCATAACAAGCCGAACAACAATAACTAGTCACACGGTGCTGTTGCAGCCCCCTGCCCAAACACAGATCCGTCCTAACACACACAAACCCCTCCCGATGGCTTAACACAGGGCAGCGGCAGACTAAGAGCCGCGGCCTCAATAGTGTCATCAGCGCTCAGATCAGCGGTGTAGAGTTTCACTTAGAGGCACCATGTCTCTTTGATTAAAACGCATGAGGCTGGCAGGGCAGGTGTGTGTGTGTGCGGGGGGGTGGGTGGGGGGATTGGGGGTGATTATGACCTACAGTTCCCCAGAAACAAGGGTCAAGTAGAGACATCCAGTGTGTGTGTGGTAGAGCCACAGCGGTGTCTGTTTGTTCGGGACGTGTGGGTGGGTGGGCAGGGGCATGTGGAACAATTCTGCACCTTTAAATAGCAGCGGTGCGGAGAGATCTCCCCCACCGCAGACGGGTAGAAATAGACCAAAAGGCTCAGAAGTTATTGTGGGACAAACAGCTTATGGTACTGGATTCATGTTGAGCGCTCGAGGATCTGTGATCATTTTACACCGTGTGTGTGTGTGTGTTGTAACTGCCATGGTAACTGCAGTAGCAAGGGAACTCAACAGACTGCGAGAAATGTTGAACTCTATGTACATATGCAAATTATACCTAATTATTGCAGATTCAAATTAAGCTTTTGGAGTGGCTTGGGCTACTTTTTTTTTGGGCTGCTGCATCTTGTCATGCTACCTTGTATCGGAAATCCGTTTGTGAAACATTAAGGCTGAACGCGCCAATTTCTTATTAAATCACCTGGAACAGAAAATAGGAGTATATGTAAATGTTTAAAGAGTTAAAAATGAGTCTGCCACCAATGCTGGAGCTCTGTACCAACTCTAAATCCAGCATTAAATCTAATAATGAATTTCAAAAACGTTTTACTTCCTTGTCAAATCTGTCACAAACGAACAAGTGCGAACACAGATATGTCATATCTAAAACAAGTTTGGACAGATAGCCAAAAGGAACCCCGAGGAGTTTTTAACTAAATGCTTTTTTTTCCCACTGGTGACACAGAGCTATGTTTCAAAAGTGGGTCACAAGGAAGTACCAGCACACACACAAACATGCGGTCAACACGATACCGGTTTTACGCATATTGCACTATCAACAGTTGGCAGGGATGCAAAATGAACCCAGCGAAGCAAGAACAGAGGCAGTCAGGAAGAAGACTACCAGGTAAATGGATGTTGCACAGTTAAAAATTAAAACATTTTGATTTGCAAATGTTTTACGAGTTATAGGCCTACACTCAATAGGTGAGTTTTTTACATTTCTCTTTACTAATGAAACAAATATTATAAGTATATGTGCTCATCAAATCTGCCTATTTGACCAGCTTCCTGAACCCAACCCTGGCTGCGTCTCACTTCTATTATTTTTTATTTCCTCGCTCATCGGTCTCGGTATCACCAGAAGTTGATTTGTCGGCGCCATCTTCAGTAGCGTCCCAGTGGCCTTATTTGTGCCGGAGGACCAAGGATCGAGGATCGATAATCACCAGAGCATCCTCCGTTGAAATCCTCATACACTCGCCCCGCCCCCTTACTGTGTATCGCTCACTGATTGGACGATGCAGCGCATGCACTGAACTGTTGCTTCTTGACATGAGAGCTAGTGATGAGAATGATGGCTCTTTGAAGGGAGAGCCGTTCAAAAGAGCCGATTTTTTTTTTAAGGGGGCGGAGTTAATAGGTTTATCTGCGAAATATACCTTTTATAATTCAATCAAATGTAGCCCTGTTTTGACTAATGATTTATATGTGTACACAATACACATATATAACTTAAATGACTCAATACATCCTTTGTACTGAAGTATTCAAAAGTAAAAATTATTTGGCTTGTTCGCGGGCGACACATCACTTATGCTACGTTCACACCGGACGCGATGCAACGTTTGGGGGCGGCGCGATTACATGTAAAGTCAATGCAGAGACGCGATCGGACGCGAATTCGCTCCGACGGCGCGCATAAAGCGGTGGATGCGGCGCGAATCACGCGATTGAGGCGATTGAAGGGGGCCGCGTCAAACGCGAGAGTTCAATTTTTTCAACTCGAGCGTCAAATTCACGTGACGCGTTCTCGCGGAAGCCAATCAGAGGTGATGATCTCAGCCTGCCGTCACTGACGTTCAACCAGAAAACATCAGCCATTAGTTGTTAGCAGTTAGCACACAGAGATCACAGCTCCTCGTATCTGTTCAGAAACTGTACAGAAGTTAAACAAGTACAAACCACAGACTGTCTGTGTCATGGCGAATACAGTCGCTGGTTTATTTATGTCTGTAGGCCGTTGTTATGAGTGTGGAGTGAGCATATACAACGTTAGCTTAGCCTGGTCGACCCAATCTCCATTAAAAAAACAAGCATTTTAAAAGGTTTTTCGCCTGCCGTCTTGTCTGCAGACTTGTCAAACATTAATTCATGGTTTTTACTAACCGGTATCAGTATGTTGGTACGTCGGCATCATTTAGAAACGTGTATTACAATTTAATCACGGTAAAATATGTTCATTTTGTTGTAGTTGTAGCTCCTGAGCCAGCGCCTCTTGTTTGAATGATGCGAGTAAACACA